TATTTTTTCGACATTTTTTTTTATTTCGGAGCTCACATGAAACAATTTAAGTATTCAAGTTTCAACTCAAAAAAAAATAAACGTCGCTCAAAAAAATCAACTAAATTGGAAAAATAGTAGTGGTCACAAGATCAAAATTATTTAAAAAATCAAGAAATGTATTTCAAAAATATTGAGCGACCAATAATATTTTGACTTAAAAATGTATGTTCCTATACGACCTACAAAAAAAATAGTGAGACGCCAAAGATTTTGAGAAAAAAGGTTGGTTTAAAAAAGTTTTGAGCGACGTCTAAAATTTTTTTATCTGTTGAAACTCAAATACTTTAGACTTATTTTTTTTATTTGATCTCCTAAATCAAAAAAAATTTGAAAAAATACTACAACCCTAATGTTTATGGTTAAATAAAATCCTTTTGTTAAGAAGTGACATTTCTTTGAATTTATTATATAGGGGCGGAAAATTTTTATTAGACCCGGGGCGCAAATTTTTATAATCCGGCGCTGCATAATATGAAAGTAAAATGTATTTGTCGCCCCCTTAAAAAAATTTGCGACATAATATATATTTATTTAAAAATATTAAATAAACAATTTGACCTCTAAACCATAAGTTGTATGACATTATTTCATAAAAAGTAAAATTGGAAAATTTTGTGGGATAAGTCAGATTAGATTGAAGTTGAAGATAGTTAGGATTATTATACATAAAAATATTAATTCAGAAATAAAAAATCGGTATACAAATTAATAAATAAAATATAAAAAAACAAAATATTTCCTTATAAAATAATTCTTTATAAAAGATAAAACCAAAAAGTTCTTCATAAAAAAAAACATTTTTCATTGTATTTAAGTTGGATAGAAGATTTTATGTAAAAGCCGGATAATTTAGATACCTATTATAGGTATCTAAATTATCCGGCTATAATACTGCCGTGCTTAATGAAAACGCCGTAAACAACAATTTTGCGATTTTTGGTTTACGGCATTTTCTACTAGAACAATTCATCCTGCGTCTATCACCGGTACTCAAAAAACCCTATCTATAGATATGAGATATAGTTTTTTGAGTACCGGGGATAGACGCAGGATGAATTGTTCTAGTAGAAAATGCCGTAAACCAAAAATCGCAAAATTGTTGGTTACGGCGTTTTCATTAAGCACGGCAGAATAGTAAAAGTATTTTTGTTATCGAATATTGTTTTAATTTGACAAATAACAATTAAAAAATATTTTGGGTTGTGTTTTTTACTTAGTATTTAATACTAAGTATAGGTACCTTTATACGTAGATTATGGTATATTTTACTATTATATAGGTACCTAACTGAACTGAATATGCTTAACAGAATGTTCCAGGAATATTCCTAAATGAACTTTCTGTAGCAATTACTGTCTCAACATTCTAAGCATATGTTTAGAGTGGATTAACTTTTACCACTAAACCTTGCACCTTCTAAGAACCTGCCTATAGGCCAGTTAGAATATTCTTATAAGATTATAGGATTATCCTCAGAGCTGTTCCGAGTACAATGAAAAAGTACTCGAGTACTGAATACAAGTACTCTTATATAAAAGTACTCGAGTACCAAGTACAAGTACAGTACCGTTGTACTCGAGTACCCATACGAGTACAAAGTATCGAGTACACTTTAGTTATGAAATGTTGGAAAAAATACTAGAGAAATGGGCCATTAAGAAATGAATTTAAAATGACTAGTGTAAAACTAAATACTAGCCGGCCTATTGCCTTCATCAAATATTGATATTTCGCTCTATGTTAATTATCAAGGCCGGCTAGTATCTTGTTTTACTTTGTCTTAGCTTTATTTTTTAATCTATCTATCTTTTTGAGAAATATTGTCACCTTATTTCTACCAAAGTATAAACAAAATTACATTTCACACATAAGTAAAAACCTTTTGTTTAATGCTCTTTCCTGTGTATTTTTATTTATTGATTGAGGCTGTCTGAGGCTGCATTGCCAAATTTTCAACACCCACGCACATATTTGCACATATGTGTCCACGCCAACCTCACCGCATAAAAATGTACTCATTGCATACTTTGGATGTACTCGAGTACACGTAAAAGTATTATTAATCTGTTATAATCCAAATGTTTTTACAAATTCAATAGAGTTTGATTAGTATGCTGTTTTTACTATGTATGTAGTGTTTTAATGATTTATTTATATATATTTATTTAATGATTTATTGAGTTAATATTCTGTGTGTCAATTATTTATATTTTGTTCTCGTTTGGGTTTCATGTTGACAGATTTATTGTCCTACACAGCTTTGGTGTATTACCTTCCATTGGGAAGTTTTGTTTGTCTTTTTTTTATTTTATGGTGTTTGGTTAGTATTGTCTTTCTAATGTTTCTATTGTTACTGTTGTTTATTGTTTTTTTTCTAGAGTTTAAGCAGTGTGCTTTTCTTAGGGTTTTAAAGATATCTGTCGTGTTTAATTTGCAAATTATGTGTTAGGTCATGCATATGCTTAAGGATACTTATCAATTTGCGGATGGCCACTTCCCCTCTTCTTTTGTTAGTCTAGTTTTATATTTTTTCTAAATTGTATATACCTTCAGTTATTTTAACTCCCAGTAAATATCTGTGTATTGAAAGTGCAAAAACATATTTAAAAAAATAATTATTTATTTGCTATATACATATTATATTGAAACATATAACGAATTAAAAAATAAAAACCTTATTTAATGCCTACTAAAAAGACTGATAACTTTGGGGTAGACGATCTTCGGAGCGCTCAAACCATACATAAAGTCCAAATGGTTGAAAGCCTCAATGGAAATCAAAAACATCCCCTTGCAATTTCCCAATTTGTCGCACAATCTGGTGACGTCTTTCTCGGCAGCCAGCCAATCGTTGTGGCTGTACAGCATGTAAACTGGAGCGGTGACTTGAGAGAGTTTGTAGTCTGGTGGCGAGTGAGTCTTGTAAACCTTCTCGTTCTCAATCAAGCCGAAATCGTATTGCCTGAAGTGGCCGGAGTTGATTTCCTGTCCGTAATGCATTATTTGCCTGGTGGAAGAACCGGCAGGAGTGTGAGCCATTAGGGTTGGCAGCAATGTAGCGTTCATTTCTTTGTTGCTGAACCCGCACAAGGCGAATAGGACGTTTTCGCACAGAATTTGGGTGATGGAATGGTCGCCACAGATGACACTTCCAAAGCTGTCCATAAATGCGTTGTTTGGAAGGAACTCGTCCACGCCAATTAGGTCCAAAAGAAGCTGTAACATGTTTGTTATAAGAGAAGGTTCATCAACTCAAATTTTATAGAAATTTGGATGAATTTCATAAATGACCGATTAATTCCTTATAGAAACCAATTGAAGTATTGGTTGGTATCAATATGTTTGGATTGGACTTACTACACAGCAAACGGAAAAATATAGAACTGTATAGGATGACTCCGCGTTTGAATATTAAATCTTAAAGTTTTATCAGAACTGTATTGAATCGTGCTTTGTTTTTATATTTTTCGACTCTATACCTATGCACGACTATTTTTAAAGTCAAACTCAATGGTGTCTTACAAGATACATTATTTTGATTTTCTATATTCAACAGAGAGGTAGAAACTCGACCCTGTCGAATGGTGCAGTCATTTATGTCTCTAGAAATTATTAAAAAAGGGTTCAGTCCAATGGTGCAGCAACTTCGGATTCCTATTCTCTTCAGAGACATAGAAACTCAAGCTTTTCGAATTTTACTTGCAATGATTTTAGTTAATGTCCCCGAGAATTATACAAAAACAGCGCAATGCAATATCGCAACGGTTTCGACTTCTCTTTACTCTACCAAATTATAGAAACTGGAGTCTCTCTAATACTGTTCTAGTCAATATTTCTGAGAGTATAAACAGAGGGTGTAATATTGCAAGAAGTTTTGATCTTTTGATGGATGTAAGTAGTTTGAATGTTCTCATTTCTGCATATGATTTTGTTGAAAATAGTTCCTTTCTTTGGTTCCTTTGTCTGATTTTTATTTACCGTAACAACTCAGGTATGTAAAGCACAGAGGATATGATGTTAAGTATATTTATGTATTATATAAAGTACCTATATTTGTATTAAAAATTTCAGAGGTTATGTTGAAAAAATTATCGATATGCTATTAAACTTTAATAATTTAGTAATGAGGTCTGTTGGTAGACCCTGCACTATCTCCACTGGTATATGTTAGTACAGCAATATTTAAATCTGGTTGATGAAAAAGTACACACCAGTGCAGGTTATTGTAGCATCTACGAACAAATGAATTAATGGCCCATTGGCAATTATTCCTTTAAGAAAAATATTCAACACAGCTTAATTAATTAATAAAATGAAAAAAATCACAATCATGTCGTATATAGTTTTTTTTAAGCATAAAATATTTTTTATATTAATACTAGTTCAAAAGTGAAATTACGACCTCTATACTGTGGAGAGTATTGAAACGCTCGACTGACGAATACAAATCTATACCGTGGGGAGATTTAGAAAACAATATTCAAACGTGGCGTCATCCTATACACTTCTATAATTTTCCGTTTGCTGTGTAGGTTAAATTGAGAGCGACATAAAACAGAAATTGGTTTTTAGTGGTTTCGATTGGTTAAAGCTACCAATAAGTAATTTCCTATTGAATTTAATTGGGCATTCCCAGTGTGAGATTCTAAAAAGGAATCTGCTAATTAATTATTCCCAATACTTTAAAATATCGCAAAACCAACGTACGCAGTCCTTGTTCAAATGGTTGAGACGCCATAATAAAGAAACAAACAAGTCTTTGGACGCTATTTAATGTCGTTAAGAGATTAACTGAAGAACATTTCTTGTTTTCTATGGTACAAGATAGCACCTATATTTCCTAAGTGAATGAAGAAAGATATACATACCCCAAGTGGTTTGCCCCAGAAGGCCAAAATTCTGAAGAAAGGACTGGTCATGTGGTTCATAAAACCGATTGGGGCCAAACTGACTTGCACCTTGATTTTCTCATTGTATTCTGGTTTAAAGGATGTCATTACAAAAAAGCTTGTTGTTCCTTGGGAGTGGCCGGCGTAGTACACACTTGGAACTCCAGTCTTTTCCAAGACAAAATCGATCATGGTTGGAAGATCGATGGCGCCGATTTGATGCCAGCTGAACTTCCAGAACTTTGAATCCTTGTCTGGGTTCAATGTTGTGTGGTTTCTCGAGTATCTGTTACCACGAGCGTTGCCCATCCACACATCGTAACCCTCATCTGCCAAGATGTAAGCTACGCAGAAGAAAAAAGTTGAATCCGCTAAGCAAAATAGCAGTGATATGCATACCTAATCCTTTGGATGAACCAGTGATGATCCAGTCACACGAGGAAGACAGAATGCCGTGTTGAAGGAAGGCCACTTTACCGTTGGATTTCTTCGCGTTTTTCCCCAAAGGAATTCTGTGTAGGGTCAGGATGTACCCATCTTCGGTGGTGACTTCGTAGGTTTCGCTAGGGTATCCTTCACTCTCGATCAAGTCAGGCTAAAAAAGATTCAATACAACATAAAAAAGTTAAAAAAAGAAAACAGTAAAAGTTTCATACCACTGTAAGCCTGGTTTGAGCCTCGAGTTCTACTAGAGATACCCCTGCAAACTCTGGAAGAGCTTGAAGCTTTTTTAATTGGTTCACATCGACGTTTGCGTACGTCAATGCAAAAAGTGCGCAAAATACAAAGTATTTCATTTTGATGGTATTTAGAGATTTATGCAAACACAATACCTTAACAACTTTAGCGTTCCTATTTATACCTATTTTGACGCAAATTTTAAATGTCCAGATAAGATATATCTTAGGTATTTATAATAAGAAAAAAGTGACAAAAACAATCAAGCGTTAATTGATAGATTAATAAACAATCCTCTTTTACTATATTTACATTTTTATTTTTGGATTGTTGTTCATATACCTACCTACTTCAGTTTCAGAGGCGGGTTTATAGAGGCTCATATTTCTTTACCACTTTTAGGGAAATAATGTATTATTTTTTGTTTTTCCATTCAACAGTGAATTTTAAGGCTCACCCTTAAAACATTAAAATTAGTTTAATGTATTTTTTATAAGAAATTTGTTTAGGGGGGTAGATTTGTAAAAAATTCTGATGCGCCACTGTGTTCAATAAAAAATGATAAAAAATATTTAGGCACTTCAGATTTAAGTAGATATTTTAAATACAAAGGGTGCTACTAAGTGAGATACTTCACTCTATGAGTATCCAAGTTATTTTTTATTAACTTATTAGTCGCATTTTGTTGTATTTGTTCACGTGCCCACTGACCTCAAACCATGAAGCTCCTGATTTAACGAAATATGGTAAGGATCGTATTTATTTCGTTTTAATATTCTAATAACACTGCTCTGGGATATTCTGGAATCGCTGGTCTGCTTGCATGAGGGTTAGCAGTAACGGCTGCTAGCTAATACATTAATTTCATTATTTTCACAGGTGACTGTTGCTCGACGAACTATTTTTTTCGGTTGAACACTCCCGTTTGTAGTAAACTGCTTGACTGTACGGTGAAATGAAGTACGTGATCGAATTTTATCCGCAAAACGCTGAGCGTAGATATTAACAGCATCAAGATTTCTGCCTGCTTCTCCATATATCAAAACCATTTCTATTTTTTTTCACTGTTCAAAAATTATTATGTTCATGTACCTATAGCTAAAAATACAGGTCTTTTTGTTTGCAAATGAATCTTCGAACTAAATAAAATTTATTATAGTTGTTCTAAATTTCGTTTTTTGATCCTAGGAAAAAAGTAGCCAATTGCGCCTTGGCGCAGAAGTCATTTTAGTCTCAACACGAGGATAACAATAAATAACAAACAAAAACAAGAATTAAAAAATGACACCAGTTTTAAATGTAAAACTGATTAATCTTGATTAAATGAAATAACGTATAAAACGTTGTAGGGGAAGGTGGGGGAATTTTGCGCGGTGGGTAATTTTACGCATAAACAATTCTTCCAGATATGAAGTAAATAATACATTTTTTGAATGTTGCAAACTTGGAAATGTTGCTTTGGGTATACGGGGACTAAAGTGTACCGCAATTAAGCTTGTAGCTTTTAGCTAGTGACCATGGTCACTACATTGGCGGATCCAAGGGGGGGGCGATGGGGGCGATCGCCCCCCCCGGAAGTAAGTTATCAAGTTGAAATTGAACATAACTTTTTAAATTAATATAGAAAATAATAAAAAAATGGAATAACTTTAATTTCAACTTTCTTATTATTTACAAAAATTTTCAACTCCGCCCCCCCCAAGGACACATTCTAGATCCGCCCCTGGGTCACTAGCTAACTGTGATACATGTACTTTGATCTAAGAAATCCATGTCGTTTCCGCTACGAGTTAAGTTTAAATTTCTGTCCAATCGCTTAAATGTTTATAACACAACTTTATATGATCTTTCCTCGTAATCTGGTGTATGTTTAAATTTTTCTGGTTAACTTTTGGAAAGTTTTTTAGTATCACAATATTTTTCTTGCAATGGGGGTAATTTTACGCTGAAAAATTGGGGTAATTTTGCGCTGCAAAATTTGGCCAATATGGAAGCTTTGGTATACAGGAGCCTAGATTGTTCAGCATAAACAGTTCCATTTGGGCACAAATGCTGCATGTAGACCCTCTTATTTCTAAGAAGAAAAATTTTATTTTTAGTTATTTATTTTTTATTTTGTTTGTTTCATAGAGAAAATAGTTTTGTTTTATTTTTATGTTTTATTATAATAATATTATAGAAATAAACGGTTTATTTAGATACCTACAAATCTTTCTCTATACAGCGCAAATTTTCCCACTATGATGTGCAAAATTACCCTGATAGGTGGGTAATTTTGCGCAAATGCATTATTTAAAAAAATGTAGTTTTTGCATACCAAACATTTTTTTTTTATAAATTGCGCATTTTATACACATAGTAAACATAGTAGACTATCGCTGGTATTAATTGCAAAATTTCACATTTAAACTTAACAAAGATACTAGAGATTTTGTTTAGATGCGCAGAATTCCCCCACCTTCCCCTAAGCGTACAAACCCCCCCCAGCAAAGAATCTGTAAAAGTTACACCCCAAGTGATAAATGAAATGTATTACCACGGCAATTGTTATATTAAATTACGACAAATAAATAAAATAAATACGTACGGTAATAATGCTCTATAATTTAGTAACCCAAGGTAATTTTGAGGTGTTGTATTCATGGGGAAAGTATTAAAAGAAAAAATATAAAAACAGTAAATAAAAGACAATAAATTACGCTTGAACTCAGATCAAACACCCGGAAGGCTCCCGTTTATTTTTATATAAATACCGCTCATAAAACCTTCCAAAATGAGGGATTATGGGAGTGAGCTATAAAATATTTAAAATTTATAACAAACAATAATGATATTTATTTAGATAGAGCAACAACAATAACCGCAACCCAAACGACATTTAACTTAATTTTCTGAAAGAAAGGGACATCCTACAAACCCTTAAAACCACACAATATCTCCTTACTGCGACCACAACCCACATATAATATAAATAAATAAATATATAAACATCATTAGATAAATAATACATCATACTAGATAATTCTAAGCTCTCGTTTTAATTTTTAGTTTGTTTGCTTGTTTGTTGGATAAGAGTAGATTGAGTCTTAGTCTCTATTTTTGTATTTTAAATTTAACTTTATCCGTCAAGTATTCCATCTGCATTAGGCCATCATCCAAATAAAGTTTTTATAATTATTTACTGTTGAATTTAAGTTTACTGTTACATATTTTTCATGTAATATTTATTAGAGTTCAGGCTCAATCAGCTATAGTTAAATTATAGTTAAATAAAACACAAAGTATTTTTTATTTTAAGCTTTTATTAAAAAAATATATTTATTAATATTTAATTTAGTAGTACCAAAATATTTCGATGGTCTAAGGCATTTAGAATTCAACAATATTTGCTTTCCTTAATTGTCAATCGAAATTTGAACTGAAGAATGAAGGCAATCATCGTCATCGAGAAATTCTGCTAAATAACTGACGACCCAACTAAAATAAGGCAGAAAATCGGAACTTAAATCTGTAGGCCTGTATTTACAAGGCCCTTCGACGGAAATGACTTTCTTTTGGGTATCCCCCTTAAAAAAATTAATCGCGTATTTAAAATCGTTATTCGTGAACTTCGTCATGCGAAAAATGTGGGCTTTAAAATACCCGCTAGTTAGAACGTGAGAAAAATAAAAAATCTCTCCCCAAGCATGCACCAAACAAAACTTCTCTGTTCTGCTGTAACACTTGAAGTTCGAGATGATTACGTTAAAATCGTTTTTGAAAATCAAGTCGTCGTGACTTTTTTTTAAATGCGCGCCGACGTTAAATTTACTTCCCACCCACTCGCACTGCTTAAGACTATTAAGAGGACATGCTGTTGCTTTGTAGCTACAATCACTTTGATGGGACACAACCAAAGGGCCTTTGGCCTGGAACAGGCACCCTTCCTCTGCATACTTGCAGGGAAAAGTTAGCTTTTCGAAAATATGCTCCAAAGCGAAATTCCTTGTGTCTTTTTTAGGGCTGCTGCACGTCGGGCACGAAGAAACTTTACCGAAACAATCCTGACAATAACTGTGCCCTATCTCGCACTGTTTTATCGGCGGAAACATGTAATTCATGCATATCTCGCACTGAAACTCCATCAGCAACTCTTCCTCCCAGTTATACTGAAAATAAAGAAAATAACGCCAACTTTACGTAAAAATTACCTTAAAAACTCACGCTATCGTCGGAATTATAATCGTCATCTAAGCAGGCTTTTAAACTGAACTCTTCAAATAGATATTTCGGGATTATTAGGTTTTTATCCATCTAAAAACTTCAATCTTATTAACAAAGTTAAACTAGTTCTTAAAAAATCACCTTTATTTATTAAAGCCAATCGAGATTAACTTAAACCTATAGGTTTATAAACAAACTTTAAAAATCATAACCTAACTAGATTATAAAGGTTAAAGGTGATCCTTTATCAGCGTTGCCAGATGATCAAAATGAAATTACCGTACCTGCTTGGTAAAAATTACCGTATTTAAGAAAAAATTACCGTACATTTAAAAAATTAAAATAAAATATTTAAAATATAAAAGCAGCAAAATTAAAAAATATTTTTTATTAAAAACTTAAAATAAATAAAAGTTAATTTAAATAAAAAAACATTTAACAAAACAACTCAAAAATGCAGCCCATAATTTTCTCCAAGAATTTCATTCTAATCCTAGATATATGAGCTGGACCTTTGGAATATGTACAGGGTGATCCCCTATAATGTCGCCCCCCTTTAACTTTTTTATTTTAAGTGTCCCAAAAAATTTAAAAGTGTGGTTATGTAGGACCTAAAAAATACTTTTTTTCTACGTATAAAAAAAATTGGAAAATTGATCAGTATACAGGGAAAAACAAAAAGTTTATTTTTTTTCAATGGATCACCCTATATATGAATTTATTTTTTGATTCCTTGCAAAATTCTGAGCATAATTTATATAACAAACCATATACCTAAATTCAACCGTTTCTCAAATATTTAAATTATTTTTAAGATAATAAGATAAAATAGTTTGTCTGTCTCTGTCTGAGTAGGCCATTTTTACTTATTTAACAAGACATATTGACATAATGTCACTATAGTAATTTATTTTCAATACAAATTTTGGCATCCTAAGGCTTGTTGATTTCTATCAGTTTAAAAAAACAAATGATAACATTTCGAATGCGAATATTTCAGAAACAGTTGAATTTAGGTATATGGTTTGTTATATAAATTATGCTCAGAATTTTGCAAGGAATCGAAAAATAAATTCATATATAGGGTGATCCTTTGAAAAAAAAATAAACTTTTTGTTTTCCCCTGTATATTGATCAATTTTTCAATTTTTATTTTACGTAGAAAAAAAGTATTTTTAGGTCCTACATAACCACACTTTTAAATTTTTTGGGACCCTTAAAATAAAAAAGTTAAAGGGGGGCGACATTATAGGGGATCACCCTGTACTTATTATTATTAATATTATTATTATTCGATTAAAAACTCATCATCATTCTCTTATGCAGCTGATCCCGAGATGGCGCTATATTAATTTAAATGCACATACTTCCACTGTGTGGAAGTATGTGTTTAAATGTGTAGAAAAACCATAGACAAAAGAAGGAAAGGACCATAGAGGTTTTTCCATAGACAATAAACAAATAGAACACCAAAAATAAAAAAAATATTGTTAATAATATTATGTATGAAAATATGTCAGTTAGTAAATTTACCGTACATTTGTGTACGGTATTGAGGTTTGTACCGTATACCGTATTTTCATTCAAATTACCGTACAAATACGGTAATTACCGTACGAATGGCAACGCTGTCCTTTATTAGCAAAGTTAGCTGTGCGAATATAAAAGCTTTCCGGTTATATAGAGCGCCATCTTCATGCTAATAGAATTATTAATTATTAAAATTCACGAAAATTTTAAAATATGATTAATTATAATAGGATCAAGTTTGATAAACGCCATTTTTGTCAAGAATTTAATTAAATGAGTGCCTAGAAAAGTTTATAAACGAGTTGCATACCACAAATACTATTATCTAAAAATTAGTTGCACTAAATTTTTGTATAGAGCGACATCTATAAAGAAGTAGAGGAACTTGCGTAAAAATTTATAAGCTTGGAAACCTGTATAACCGGCCTTAAAATGTCAGATTTGTATGTTTAAATCGAAATTTATTCTTTGAGAATGGACTAACAACCGTTAACATAATGATATAGAAGCAGTTTTTCAGTGAAAGTAAAGAGAATGTTTTATGGACACTTCACGGTGGAGTCTCCACCCGAAATTTGTAATGTTTTCAGTTATATCATTAAGTAAAGAAGTTACACTTTACTCAATGGTTATATCATTGAGTAAAGAATGGTTATATCAATGGTTATATCTAGTTTACTGCCGGCAAAATCAAAAGGTTAGTACAAACTTGCACATAAACTTTTCAAATAGGTATTGGCGTTGAGAAACTATTTTATACTTTTTATTTTTGTATCAAGATAATAAAATAATTTCCACATTATTATTTCATAAGAATGGCATTTTATTTTAACGATTGTATGACATTTGACAACTGTCAGCTAGCTTAAAGCCATATGGCTTGTCAATGTGTCATGGAAACATATACGATAATGGGCGTTTTAATGATGGGAGTAGAAAATAAGTTTTATGAACACCATATTAGTTACGAGTTTTATTAGGCACGTGCGAAGCTTGCGAGCGAGTGTTTAATAAAAATGTGTGTATAGAGAAGTTTATAAAACGAGTTGCATACTACACTTTATCTACGACTACCAGAAATAAGAATTTAAAGCCAATTCTTCTTCTTCTTCTTCTTCTTATTCCCAAGCACCAGCTGTGCTCAGGGGTATGACCTTTAGCCTAATTAAAAGCCAATTTTAATTCATAAATATTTGACATCCAACGAATTTAACCTCACTTTTTCGCAATTTATAATAAAGCTAACTTCAGCCCGTGACTAAAATGCCCAAAAGCCACTGTTGTTAACTTCATCCCGTGACTAAAATGCTATAAAGTTGCAGCTTGTCCATGTAGAAGTAGATAATAGTATATTATGTATCAAGTTTAATAAACGCCATTTTATACATGAATTTTAAATTAATGAGTGTATAGAAAAGTTTATAAACGAGGTGCATAGGTACTATACTTTTTCTACGACAAAACTTATTAATATCTTAAAATGATTTAAATCAAAAATTTGTATAGAGCGTCATTTATGAAACAATAGGGGAATCTGTGTGTCACCGTCAAATGTCAATTTTTTTCATTTTATAAACACAATTATAAAGGTTATAAATCGAAATGTATTCTTGATAATTGACAGCTTTTTACAGTGAAAGTGTTTTACAGTGAAAATGTTTTATGAGCACTTTACAGTGACGTAAATGTACTAAAAATGCCCCAAACACATTTTGCAATAAGAATTTTTAACAGCCTATCAAAATTGACGATTGGCATTTTTCTTAGAATCCGGTCTTTACTGATAAGCAATAATAACAAAATAAAAATATACTCGGGTTTCGCACGTAGTGGCATAGGAATCTAAAAAAATAAAGAATGAGTAACGCCAGTTTTATAGATAGGTACTTTTGTATGCAAGAATTTGTGGCTGTGCGGAAATGAATAGTCCCAGAAGGTAGGGTGAATTAATATAATTAAATAAATACATTTATACCTTATAATAATTAATAAAAGAAGTTGTTTGGCATTATTTCAGGTAATTATAGATTTATACCTAATTTAGATTTAAAGTGGTGTGTGTTTTATTTCTAATTATTATTATAGGTATTAATGTATAAGGCAAGAAAGACGATTTTTTTAAAACTTGTTACTGCAGGTAAAATTCATTGAGAAAAACATTATGGATGAAAGAGAATGTTACAGAATCCATGGAATCAGACTTGACGAGTCAAGTGCAGATTCAGACAGTGGTAAAAGTGATTTTGACGATGAATACAATAAATATCGTCCTAAACCTATTGTGTTGGATCCTTGGAAAATCGTGGTCATATCAGCAAATTCACCAGACAGAAAAGAAAGTGTTAATAAAAATACTACTTCTAAGCGAAGGTATAAAAGAAGAAACCGAATTCCATCTTCAGAAACTGAAAGACCAGCATTTTCTTCAAATTCAAGAACTGCGTCAAATCGATTACGTCAAGTAAACAATTTAAGTGCAGAAGAATACGATAAATGTTGTCCCAAACCTATTGTGCTGGATCCTTTGAAAATCGTGGTCATATCAGCAGATTCATCAAACAGACAAGTAAGTATTACTGAAAATACACCTTTAATAACTAAAAGACCAGTGATTTCTTCAAATCTTCGGAAGATTCAACAAAGAAGCTCATCGAATCGAATACTTCATAAAGTTCTTAACGAGACTACAGACTCAGATAATCCTATGGTGTCAGATCCTTTGAAAAATGTGGTCATATCACCAAATTCTTCAAACTTCAAAGAAAGTATTGGTAAAAAAACTTCTTCTAATGGAAGACCAGTAATTGATGAAGAGCCTACTTTTGCTGATCTCTTGGATAACACTTTTCCGGATCCGAATATCGAAGAGGAGGAAGAAAAACATCAAGATGAGGATTGTTTGTGGAGCATTGTTAAATGTATAACATGTAATTTTAATTTGTGAAAAATGTTTTTTTTTAATCCATTTTATTGCTAAACCTTAAGGTGTAGGTTAAAACTCCAAATAAACATCTTTGACTTGACTTATAATTTTGTATTAATAAATAATATGGAAAACTGTCTCCAACAAAATTTGTTGGTAATACGTTCCTTTCTTGCAAGTTATTTTATCATAAAAACGAGTGTATTATTCACTGTGTTAATTGAAAACAATATATTTTATCAAAGCGATATCAATTCTTATCAATAGGTAGGGCAAAAAAATGTTTTTGTTGTGTAATATGACGTTTAAATGAATTATTAGACAAAAATAAATGTGAGTATACACAAAAATCGTTATACTACATATATGTTTTATATTTGTTGTTTTGTAGGAAACATTTATACTTTTCATATTTCAAGTAAAATATGTAAATAAATATTATGGACGAAAAGGAATTTTTAAAGATTCATGGAATCAGACTGAACGAGTCAGGTACAGATTCAGACACTGGTAAAAGTGATTTTGACGATGAATACAACAAATATCGTCCTAAACCTATTCGGTTAGATCCTTCCAAAATCGTCGTCATATCAGCGAATACACAAAAAATAAAAGAAGTTAATTTAAGTGACCGAAAACATGTTGATGGATGTGGTAAGCTTTTAGAAGGTGACCCTTGTATATCAGCAGAATCAGCGAATAATGCAAAATACAAAAAAATTATTCAATCGTTAAAAAGGCAAGCAGCTGAAAAAGAAAATAAAATCATTTTTAAAGAAGCCAATATTAATAGCACTGAACATGAAACAAAAAAGTCCAACTCAAAAAGTAAAAACAAAAGAAAAATACCAAATAAAAAACTTACCAATGATAACATAACACAAAGGTCATGTTCTAGCTCAAAAAATAAAAGTAAAAAGCCAAGACCTAGAAAAGACACTATGACAAATGCAACAGAAAAACCATATCCGAGCTATACAATTTATAATAGCAATTTTAAAAGTCCAAAAAATTCTCTTAAAGCAAACTCTATTGGTAAAAACCATTCTTCAACTGAAAATATTACACACAAACCATGTCCTAGTTCAGAAAATGTGCAAATTATTCCTCAAAATCCCCCCTTAGAACTAAACAATGAAGAAATCCTTTTTCAAAAAATTATTAGAACCTTAGATGAGATGAAAGGCACTAAACACTTGGATATTGCAAAGAATAAACAATCTCCTATAGAACCAATAGTTAAACCACCAGTTAACCCTCCAACTACTGCTAAAACAGTTATAGAGACGCCTCCATCTTTAAAAACTGAAAGACCAATGATTTCATCAAATGTTCCACCTTTAGAACCAATATTTAAACCACTAGTTAACCCTCCAAGTATTCCTAATAGGGTTAAGAGAGTTACGCCTTCATCTCTAAAAACTGAAAAACCAATGGGGTCATCAAATGTTCTTTCTATAGAACCGAGAACTGAACCTCCAGTACACCCTTCAAATATTCCTAAACGATCGTCTATAAAAACTGTTTCTCCAAGTGTTCCTTCTGAAACACCAAGAACTTTATTGAGCAATCCTAGAAGAGTCATTGTTGACGAGCCTATTTTTACAGATCAAGGAGTTTGGACCACTTCATCGGATATTCTTGTGGTAAATCCAAACCCCAACGACGAAGAAAAAGATAATCAAGGTTGCTTATCGAGTATTTTAAAATTCATTACATGTAACTTTTATAAATTTTAGTTTTTTCTAAAATAAAATACAAAAATACTACATAGAGTTTTATTAAAAACAATCATTAACATACAGTAATTATAAACTAAAGAAATTGTACTATACATTTTATATAGCCTGTTAAATTTTTATTTTTTGATTGACTTTTCAATTGAACTGATATCACAGATTCATAATAAACATTCTTTAAAAGTTTATATGTTAAATCTAAATAAATACTAATTAATTAATTATGTTTTAGTTATAAAGCAAAACCGAAATTTTGGAAACTGAAAATACACTTTTTGGTCCATATGATTGGGTATCACACCAAAACATTAAAATACATATTTTTAATAACTACCATTACAATAATAATAAATTCTATCAGTCACATTCAAAAATGCACCAATCAGTTAATACCTGACTGAGATTAATGTACAGCAGCAGAAATATATTTTGCACCACGACATGCACAACTTATTTCCACGACTTCACCTAGCTAACTAAAATACTACGCTAAATTTTTAATCGTCGAGTTGCAAAACTCTGGTGTTCACCATAGAACGAGGTAGCAACTCTTGCAGCGAATAAAATCGATTGGTGTCGTTTCTGTCTATGTTGGTGATATGTTGGAAACAGCACGGCTGGGAGATGTGGCTTTTTGGGGGCAAAGGCGCGGGTTTGGGCTGTTTCTTCGGCTTCTTCTTTTTCTTTTTGCCTGAAAGTTTTTTAAAAAATTTATAATTCCTACATTAATTAAATTACACAATTTGTTATTTAAGGCAAAGAAATGGGTCATCTCAACTTATAATAAGAAATCGTGTCTTGGTTCGATAAAATTTACGTGTTATAAATTACATCATATCAAAGGCACGCTATATCAGAGATAGTTTATGGACAATACAAAAGATCAATTTTCATTATTAATAAAACTAAAAATAAAAACTTACCAGGCGTCGACAGAGAAATATTCTCCGGACACGAAACCAGCTGCTCCAAATGTTTTCCGACTTCGTCTGCAGCTTCAGCCGTGTCGAAGCTGAAACCGACTCTTAACGTGTGGTCCTCGGAATAGCACATGGTGTGAAAAGAGGGGCCTTCGGTTTTGTATGAGGACAAATTGTCGACTATATCGTGCCACAACATGAACCCTGTACCCCTTTCCGCCAACGCGATTTGTATGCGCCTTTTACTGCGGGCTCTCGATTCCCCCACGTCCAGAATTATGACTGGTATTCCGGTGTACCTCAGGCACCAGTCTTTGTCGTTTGTCGTCTTTTCGTAGAGGTTTGCTAGCGATGGGCTTACGAAAACCTGGACATAAAGAAAATCAATTAGTATTTGATAGCAAGTATAATAACGACTAAATATGCTCGAATCTTCTTTAAAGTCAGTACTGACAACGAACGACAATATATAGAATACGACTAGGAATACATATCTGTGGTGTAAAGAGTAATCTTAAAATCCAACACCAAGTGGTGTTAATATAAACACTATGAATTATGGTTGAAAATATTATATACAGCAAACACCAAAACGGTGTTTATCTAAAAATATTTGAGAAGTGCACCTACACAGAAAAAAAGAAATAGTTCATTTAACTATATTAATTTAGTTGACCCATAAGTATTTATTTAAATCAACTGTGGGAAGGTTAATATAAACAAAGATTAGTTTGACGGTACTAAACCAGATAGTTATTTTATATTTTTTAAATTGGTTAAATTAACCCAGAAAACTTTAGTGAAACCAACCCGCTGTATGGTTCAGTTTAATAAATATGTTGTTTGTAAAATAAGAGTTACTTCAACCTAAATCACTCTGTTAAAACGATTAAAACAATTTGCCGTGCATTCCTGGTTGCATAGTGTGTACCGATCGCGGCAAAGGCGGTGTGGATCACGTGATGTTCTTAAATCTCGCCTCTGTTGACTTACATGAAGAGTATATAAGCTCAGGTAGTCCTTTGCTTTGGTGTGACACTACAAGTTGTTCGATACTAAAGAGAACTTAAATAGGTGGAAAAAGCTGTCAATACTTGAAGTATTTTAAGTTGGTGGAACGCACTAAAAACATTATCTCTAGCGAGTTGACGGTTGAATTTTCTGGAATAATACCACTGGTAATATACTAGTAATGCGTCAAGGAACTTCCTGTTTCCTTTTTTTTTCTTTTTTCTGTGTAGTATGATTTAATTTGTCCAAAAACACATAATATTTAACACTGAAAAGGAGTTCAATTTACACCAGGTAAAATTTATTTTAATACTGTGTGAAAATTAAATTTACAATATTTTAGTATTTGAATTTACACTGGACCAACGAACCATATTTAACACCATTTTGGTTTGTATCGATATAGACCATGTATGGTGTTAATTTAGTGTTAAAATCATTTATTTTATTTTATTTTAATAAAATGGTCATGAAATTTTGAACAGTGTAAAAACGGTAAATGTTGGTAGTATACAAGTAGTAATTTGAGTCGTCGAAATTATCCTCTAAACACCAAAAGATGTACACCCTTATAACCATTAAGGAAATGGTCAGATTAGTGTTTTAGTCATAGTATTTTTTGTTGTCAATTCTATTTTTGTTTTGTTGTGGGAAGAATAAAGATAATTATATGGGGGATATACATTGTTTATAAATAAACATTTGATAACTTAATCTTTTTGCCATTAAAAACAAGAGAGAGTAAATTATTTGTTGATATATTTTATTTTATAAGTTTTTGTACAGACCTGGAAAACTATTTGACGGTACTCAATTTTAGTATATTTTCTATAAATGACAATTTATGACATTTTAACGACAATCTGTTGTTTTAAGAACTATTTATGTACATGCTATTTTATTGTTCTTCCTATTAAAAAAAATTAAGTGTAAAAATCTGTTATTTTATTTCTAGTCTGGGAATTCCTTTATTATTAATTGGTGTATGGGAATGTTTTGTATACAAAAATGCTTAGAATTGTTATTTTAATCTTTTGACGTGAGAATTCAAACACAATTAACAGAGTATACCCAGTGATTCATATGTTAATAATTTGTTAAAATAATATAAATTCAACTCTTGTATTGGGCCTCTAATACCAACTTATTATATCCATCGATATATGGTCGTTGGTTCGAAATTTATATTGTTTGATATTGAAGCGAATGGGTCGACTAATGGATTGGCAAACAATGTTGCCTCGGGAGTGGCCCCACAATATTCATAGATACTAGAAATGTAGATGAATGATGGCGCATTAGATCATATTGTGCTCTATATCTGACACATCAGGTCAATCGACAACCGTAAATCATTTTTTACAAGCCCCAAAGTCGTGATTTACGTAATACTACACTGTTATAAAAATCCTATTTGTTAACATAAGTTTGTACTTCATAAATTTTATTTTGTGAAAATTTAAAAATAACAAGAATTATGGTTGAATTATTGACATAGGATTTTGCTATTAAACCTACAAAATGTTTGTTATAATTACAAACAGATATAGTGGGTGTTCTCATTGAGAACAAAACACATGATTGCATGATTCCTACACTGTTCAAAATTTCATGACCATTTTAACAGCAAATTAACACCATACATGGTCTATATCGATACAAACCAAAATGGTGTTAAATATGGTTCGTTGGTCTAGTGTAAATTCAAATACTAAAATGGTGTAAATTTAACTTTCACACAGTATTAAAATAAATTTTACCTGGTGTAAATTGAACTCCTTTTCAGTGTTAAATATAATTTGTTTTTGGTCAAATTAAATCATACTACACAAAAAAAAAGGAAGCAGGAATTTCCTTGACGCATAACAAGTATATTACCAGTGATATTATTCCAGAAAATTCAACCTTCAACTCGCTAGAGATAATGTTTTTAGTGCGTTCCACCAACTTCAAATATTGACAGCTCTTTCCACCTATTTAAGGTCTCTTTAGTATCGAACAACTTGTAGTGTCACACCCAAGCAAAGGACTACCTGAGCTTATATACTCTTCATGTAAGTCAACAGAGGCGAGATTTAAGAACATCACGTGATCCACACCGCCTTTGCCGCGATCGGTACACACTATGCAACAAGAAATGCACGGCAAATTGTTTTAATCGTTTTAACAGAGTGCTTTAGTTATTGTATTAAAAGTATTAAAACTTTGCGACAAACTCGCTAGATATATATTTTAATTAAATATTCTGCAAGCATTTCTCTTATCACCGCTTTTGTTTAATTTCGTTCGGATCTCATGCCAGCATCGACAGACGCGTTTCGTTCTTGTGGAACTCATCAGTGCCGAGTTGCTATAGGCTCGAGACCCAAACGAAAACTTTGGTTCCTCTCCTTATATTGGAAAGGAATAGTTCAAAAGCGGCGAGAAGAGAATTTGCCTGCACAATGGTGCCATCTATCGTTTTTCAACGCGGTCTGACATGACATATAGAAGACCGCGTTGAAAAACGATAGATGGCACCATTGTGCAGGCAAATTCTCTTCTCGCCGCTTTTGAACTATTCCTTTCCAATATAAGGAGAGGAACCAAAGTTTTCGTTTGGGTCTCGAGCCTATAGCAACTCGGCACTGATGAGTTCCACAAGAACGAAACGCGTCTGTCGATGCTGGCATGAGATCCGAACGAAATTAAACAAAAGCGGTGATAAGAGAAGAGTGCTTTAGGTTGAAGTAACTCTTATTTTACAAACAACATATTTAGTTAAGTGAACCATACAGCGGGTTGGTTTCACTAAAGTTTTCTGGGTTAATTTAACCAATTTCAAAAAAAATAACTATCTGGTTTAGTACCGTCAAACTAATCTTTGTTTATATTAACCTTCCCACAGTTGATTTAAATAAATACTTATGGGTCAACTAAATTAATATAGTTAAATGAACTATTCCTTTTTTTCTTGTAGGTGCACTTCTGAAATATTTTTAGATAAACACCGTTTTGGTGTTTGCTGTATAAACCATAATTCATGGTGTTACATTAACACCACTTGGTGTTGGAATTTGATACCATTTG